AGGCAGGAATCCGAAGCAGTTCCAAAAACAACAAGATAAAAGCTTAACAGTGGAAGATGGACTGGAAGGGCACAAAAGGGCTATAGAGACTGAATCTGCACAAAGAAATCTAGTTGCTGTGGAGTCCCATAGCTTTGGTGAAATTCCACCATCAAGTAGACACCAAATTCCGACAGAAAAGGACATAAATAGATTCAAACCTCCAGTTCAGTTCAGCAGCACACTTTCTAAATCTCAGGCCGCTGGGTGTCTAACCACCAAACAGCTTCAAATGCCAGCTAAAACTAATGACATGGAAGTATATGGAACAAAATCACAGCACCAGAGAGCAGATTTCAAAGCAGAAAGCAACAGTGAGTCAACGAAAATGTTTATCCCAGATACACTCATGGTCTCAGCGGGCCTAAAAGAGGAAGGAGTACAAACTGGGAATGAGTGGGAGAATAACAAATGCAAAACGTTTCATAAAAATGTTGTCAAAGTGACCATTATCTCTAACACATCAAACGCCCCCACTTCCCCTGAAACTGAAACACATCTGGAGAGCAACATCAATCTTGAAATGAAGAATAAGGTGCATATGGATAATGAGAGTGATTTGCAAGAAGCTCCAAACAATCAACTTGATGAAGGTAGCAGTGATCATAAAGAAGGTAAAATGCCACCAGCAACACGTCAAGAGCATCCTTTGTTATCAAAGCTTAAAGACGTCAGTTATGAGGAACAAACTGAGATGCCTTCACTTCCTTACAAGACACATAAAGCCGAAATCTCTGTCTCCAAACCTACACTGTCTCCCACATCTGCTGATTGTGATAAAGAATTGCCTTCACAGGCAGAACAAGGCAAAGCAAATATTTCAAAAAACATTTATCCTTCCTTAGTTCTCTTCAAAGACAAAAAACCCTTTTCAATATGAAAAGCTAGACTTTCTAACCCAGGACTGAAACTTTCAGACCAATATAGGATGGTGTAAAAAACAAGGAGCTCTTGAGCTGTGAAAGCCAAAGCAGAATGAAGAATAAAAAAGGGAATGCAATTACTGAACAGAATTGTGCTTATAAATTACAGTTAAGAAGGCATTGCATATTTTGTACAAAGTTTTCTTACAATAGAATAACTGCTTTTTTAAATAAAACAACAACTCGGAACTGCCACCCCTGCTCACATTACTCATCAACCCCCTCCACCAAACCCTCAGCCCCCTTGCCAACCTGACCTATCCCATAACAGCTCCTTCAAGTGTCCGTATTCTCAGAGCTTCTTCAAGTCCTCCATGTCATCACAGCTCCCTAAACATGCCCCCACAACATTCTCACAGCTTCTGTGTCCCTCCATCCCTGCTTTATTCAAACATCTGTTGTTGTCTGAAAATGGCCTTTTAAAGACTGCCTTCCCATTTGCTTCCCTCTCCTGCCCTGACTTCCAGCAAATCCAGGCTTGTGATAAGACAGTACAAATTATCCAATGGAGAGTGTGAGCTCTGACTTCATGCAAATCAAGATTGTGATGCAGCACGACAGATCCTCCAATGGGGGCTGCATAATGACAGTGTTATTTTTTATGTATGCACTTTTAATAAAATGGATTAGATATAGAGTCACTATATGTACCTTTTAGGAGGGTAGAATTTGATAGAGGTATCATTTTGCTATATGTAGAAATGGACAAAGGGTTTTCAAAAGCCTATCCCCCTGCTAAATACTGTTATAGATCAAAACTTGAGGGGCAAACCCCAAATTTGGAGAGACTGTTGCTCAATATGTTAATTCTTCACCCCACTGCCTAGATGAAAATGAATCTGCAGTAAGACATCTGTGCATCCTCAGCTTGGGGATATTTCTCCATTAAAATTCTCCTCTACCAACCAAGCAGGATTGTTGGTCTTTATAATATGTGTGACTATAAGAAATAGTGAAATATTTTGATAGTATATTACTAAGGTTGCTTACACACATGCAGTGGCGTAGCGTGGGTTGTCAGCACCCGGGGCAAGGCAAGTAATTTGCGCCCCCTAACCCGTGGATTTGCGCCCCCTAACCCGTGGATTTGCCATAACCCCAGATGTTGCGCCCGGTGCGGCCGGCCCCCCCTGCACCCCCCCATGCTACGCCACTGCACACATGCCCCTAGGTTCTCTGGAATGGCTGCCTTCTGTTCACTCACTTTTTATGGAGAACCTAGATAACATCCAGATAACATTACCATGCCACTGCAGACCAGTGTTTTTTATGTTATCCTTCCATATTTTTCAGACCTGATTTTTTTAAAATAAAAAAATAAGACACAGTTGCAGGAGCCAGTGTGGTCAAGTGAAGCACCACTGAGCCTTTCAAGAAGGCAGAAAGCAACAATATCCTGTAAGAACCCTTCTGGGGAATTGCTTACAGCATCTTCACAGATGAGCTTCTGTTCCTGGCTGTGTGAGAGTGTGTGTGTGTCTGATGATGTGGAAGCTGGGGAAACAGCTGGCTTCTTAGTCTGCTCCTTCTGTGGCCAGAACAGGAGTAGAAAAGGAGGCCTGTCTCACACTTCGAACTGGGACTGGCTAGTTTCCACCACGGAAGAAGCATTTTTTGTGCTTATGGCTTGTGCATCAGCAACATGCCATATACAGTCACAAAATGGTGGCGGTGATGGGGGAGGAATACTGGGAACAACTGACTGGCTTGTTTACCAGCATGAACTCTTTAGATCTGTATTATATTTGTATCACAATTTTCCTTCAAGGAGCTCAAGGCAGCATACATGTTTCACCCCCCTTTCCACATTAATCTCTGTGACATAAGTTAGGCTGAGAGCTGGTGACGGGCCCAAGGTCACCCACCCAGTAGGCTTTGTGGCTAAGCAGGGATGTGAACCACAGCCTCCCAGATTCTAACCCAACACTACAACCACCACACCACTCTAACTATGGGGCAGACTGGTTCTTTGGCACTTGATCTGAACGTGGGGAGTGAGCCTTACTGAGCTATGAGGAGTTTTTCTCTCTCTTCTGCAAGCCTGCTGGGATTAAGGAAAGGGCAATGGAAGGGTATGGAACATGCATCTAATCTACTTATTTTAAATATTTATTTTAAAAGTTTGCTTGTGTTTTTTTCTTTTCTTTCGTCAAGCTCAGGTCCCCTCCCTTTTACCTGATATTTGTCAGCTAGGCTGGGCCAGTCTGGGAAGGAAGTTAGTGTCTTCCCTTATTATCTCCCTTGTCATCTAGACTGCCTGTTGCCAAGACGGCACAACTGTTCTAACCATGGCACCCTGCCATCGTGAAGGTTGTTTTAATTTCTAATATCTGTTAATTAAAATATGGAGTTTTAAAAATAATCGAAAGTGAAAAACCAGAGAAAGTAGAAAAACAACGTATGTCTCTTGACGTGGCATGCCAGATTTGCTCTTTTATGCAGAGATAGTTTTAATGGTTTTTAAACAATAGGTGGAGCTATCTCTTCTAGTTGCCCCACCAAGAAATAAAATAAATATGAAAATAATTAGCTAAAGAGTACCCAGAAATCCAGTAGTAACAAAAGGCTTTAAACAGATCTGAAAGGCTCTTGATTATTATTAAGGTTTTGGAAAATAAATATCTTATTACCATATCAACAATCTACGACTGATCTCTTGCAGAAGCTGATATATTATCATCTGGGTTTAGCATTTCTGTTTTCCAAGGGAAGGAGGAGTAGGATGCACAGAGATGAAGTCAAGGAGAAGCCAGAAGGGAAATGGCAGTGGTATTTCACAGACTGTACAGAAAGAAGAGAATCCGACTGACAGCTGGACTAATCTGGGCTACTTTCTCACTTCCGGCTAAATCAATGTGTTGTATGACAGGTCACTCCATATCTAGGTTACTAACCTTTCTCTTTTTCTTTGCTGGCCTTCCTCCTTTGGCTTCATAGCCTGATGGACAGAAATTTAGCAGATGAGTTTTCCTGGCATGGAGATCAGTTGCAGAAAAAGCTTCACCTGCTAAAATTCTGGGTATGGAACAGCTGCTAAAAGACACAGGAGGAGGGGCAGAAAAAAGTGACAACCGTAGCAGTTGCTTGGTGCCATTTTGTGCATCCTATTGAAGAATGCCTAAACCAAACCAGCCCTGCTGGTTGAAACTGAAGTGTACATGCCAGTGCAAATGACAGCTCTGTACTTTAGTATCAGATTATAGACAGGAAGCACTGCAGGCCAAGGCACTGGGCTCCTCTGTCCCCAACCCCCAAGACAATTGAAGGACAATGTAGACTGATTTTGGATCGAAACAGGCCACAACTTTATTGAATATAGAGGAAAGAGGTTTGGCTTGCGCATGGGGCAATTAATTACTTCCGGCCCGCCTGCCGGAAGTGATGCCACAGGTCAATCCCAGAGCAGGGCTTCCTAAGACTTACATCAAATAGGGTGACCCCTGCAGGAATTGCCATCTGAGGGCGTTCCATTGGCCCTGGCCCCTGACTGGGCATAAGGGCATAGGCAACACCAGATTCCTTTAATGGGATACCCCAGCATTGCGAGGAGAGACAGAGACAACAACTTCCCTTCCATCAAAGACTAAGATTGCCCCAATGCCCAAACCCAGTTGTGACAATTGTCATGAGTAGTGATCATCACAGCATGGTGGGTGTCCAGCTTTGGGTAACTAGCATGTCAATAATTTGCTGGTCATCCACAAAAGCACTACTCTCTCTGGACAAAGCCAGTGACTAGGAATCATATTTAGTAGGTCCAACAGTCAAATCTTCATTTGGGCACAACATTAACAAAACCATCTGTGATCCCACCCACCCCTGTTTTCTTTTTGTATGTGCGCCTGCAGGGAAATATCAGCAGAAAACAGATTAACACTACAGTTTCTATATCCTTTCATGAAAGAAACTGAAAATCAAAGCAGTGGATCTAGGCCTCAGGTGTCCAATGTTTAAATGAGCAGGCAGTTCTGCTTTCTATTCTTCATCAAGGAACAGTGGCATATATTGCTTGGAAAATTAAGAAATAGGGCCACTTACCTCAGGACATGCATTCCAGCCCCTCATTAACAATGATGAGATGGGCTTGGGAATTGAGTAGCCTATTGGAGGCCTGATGTGATGGTAGGCCATGTCTGCTGCTGCAGCCGCTGTAAATAAGAAAATGACAAGGAGGAGGAATTATTGTCCCTCCAAAAATGCAGGTGAAGGAAAAGAAGCCAACAATTAAAGTCAGTCCTCAGTCAGTAGCACTGTCTTCAACCAATTTTTATGGGCGTTACTCCTGGAGTGGCCTTTTATTTGCACTCTGTATGATTGCTTATGAACCCGGTAGGAAGTCAACATCTCTTAACAAGAGGAACAAATGGAGGAAGAGTTTAATCCAGGTATATATTATCTGATTTAGTGAATATTCCTTCAAATGAGCGATGTTTGTAGAGACTCCCCTTTCCTCCGCTTCTCTCAGTTATTCACTCATTGATGAAACTATGCCGCAGTAATTTCTCCAATCAGCATGAGATTTCGGAATGATAGCATCAAACTCAGGCTGGTACACATTTAAATTTTGTATGTACGCTACATTTAACTTGGTATTCTTGCCATCTGTTACCATGTTATGAGATGGGTAGGCTGCAGTTAGTCCCTGGTAGATGACCAATTAATCATAGTGAATTATATCTAGTAGGTCTTAATAGGTAAGGCTGCAGCTATCCAGCGATAAATATATACTTACCGTCTGGTACAACAGCAAAGGACCTAAACATTATGCACTTATGCACAAGTCCTGAGCTGCAAATCAGGCAACCACGTTTGAGGTGCCTGGTTTAACTGGAATCTAAACTTTTCTGTTAGGTTCAGTATTTCTATTCATCATACAACTACTCAAGTGGGGTTTGCCATGCAACTATTACAGATAATGTAAGAAATCTAAAGAGGGTTCTGGACACTTGCATGGCCATAGTCTATGCCCCTGTGGTCTCTCCAAGAACCAAATGACCTCTTTGCAGCCACATAGTAATGCCCATTTTAAAAGGAAGCTACTCCGACGTTCCCAAATGGTTTAATCTCTCAGATTTAGACTAGTCATTATGTGTAATTCATCTTCATGGCAGATCTTTAACTACCCAACGTGGGCTGCCTCTGATTGATAAACACTATTGCTGTAGTCTAATTGGTTGGCACTTAGTGCTTAAGTAATGGGTTGTTACCTTTTTATTTCAATTATGCCTGCATTATAAAACCTAAACAGTTTCTCAGCTACATGGCCTATTCACTCTTCTTTTCTTTCTAATGTGCTTGTTTTCCACCTTCCCATCTGGCTCCCTGTATTATTTTTAAAAGTTGAAAAATTCATCACGGTTCAGCACTCCAGCCAAGCTGCATTTCTTTTTAAAAGATTGTTATGTTAACATCTGGGGTCAAAAGGTGCTTTGTGGTTAATCTTAGCTTTCTGCAAATCTTATGCATTTATATCTGTAAGAAGCGAAAGTACAGTTTCCCTTTGCTTCTGGAAGCTTTCAGAAGAGTCATGAAATGTTTAATAATTGGAATCCTGCATCTATATACCCTCCAACATCCTACCGATCAGAACTGGGATGCTCATTTTTCGATCCCAAGCTCTTGTAGGATCCAGCTGCCTCTCGCAAGAGTATGAGACCAAAAAATGAGTGTCTTTTGGTCCAGTGCTCTGGCACAAATCAGCTGATTCATGCCAGAACACTGGACCAAAAATTGGGACATCCCATGATCCAATCAGAAGCCAGGATAGCTTCTGAAATTGTGGGATATCCTGGTCAACTTGGGACGGGTGAGGGGTATGCATCTCTTCTGGATTTGACAGCTGGCAAACAAGAGAAATTCACAGGGAAGGACATGAGACAGGGTCCAGACCAGGTAATGACCTACCATCTGAGGGTGCCACTCTTGGTTCTCACCTGGACACAGAACCTAGCTTGAGCCTGGGGCAGGGTACACTCAGATCTTGCAGAGTTGCACATAAAGGGAGCCTTAGACCAGTGTTTCCCAACCTTTTTTGGGCAAAGGCACACTTGTGTCATGAAAAAAATCTCGAGGCACACCACCATGCCAGATGGGGAAAGGTCACTTTTTACTTATGTTAGGGTCTCCCCCCAAATGCAGAATTCTATTAATATCTTCCTTAGCGAGCCGCGTTAACCCCTGTAATGCTTTCTATAGAGTAAGCATAGGGGACACTGGGGGATGTGGAACCAAGGGGGCAGTGGGCCAAAAGAGTTCGGGATCTACTGCTTTAAACAGAAATAAGAGCCAGTGGGTTCTTCCTTTTTTAAAGTATCGTTTCAGCGGGGACAGCAGTCCGGATTTCCAAAAAGCGGCGCTTTTTTGCGTCTGAGCAAAGAAGAGAGAGAGGGGAAAAAAGAGAGAGAGATTGATTTGTGGCTGCGCAAAGGGGGGAGGAGCCCAGGAGTAAAAGTAGGAAGGACGAAGGGAGGGGAAAGGAAAGTTAATAGAAGGAAAGGCGGGTGGGAGAGAAAGAGAAAGAAAGAGGGAAGGAAGGGGGGAAGAGAAGTGGAAAGGAGGGAGACCGAGGCGGGGGAGAAGCGTCTGGAGAGTTGCTCCGAAGTTTGGGGGGCCGCGGGGGTGGGCGCGCGTCCCAGGAGGCGGAGGCCAGCCCGGGCTGGGAGCCGCGCCGCGGCCCGGGGGCGGTAGGCGGACCGCGGCTCCTAGGATGTGGAAAGGGGACGGCGGCGCAGGGGGAGGAGACCCGCACGGCTAGGGCAGCGCGCAGGGGGAGGGGAGCGGGCCGGAGGCGGGCGAGGGGGGTCGCGATCCTGTGCGCCGCGAACATGGCCTCCTTCCCCGCGGGCCCCGCCGAGCCCCCCGGCCGGGGAGGGCGGCGCGCCCCCGCCGCCGGAGGAAAGCAGAGGCAGCAGGAGGAGGACGAAGGCGCTGCCGAGGAGGCGCGCCAACTTCTGCCAACTTCGGCGCCCGCCCCGTCGCCGCAGGCTCCTCCCGGCCGAGAGCCAGAGGACGGCGGCGGAGCAGGAGGAGGAGGATCGGGTTTGGCGACGGCTGCTGCGTCCTCTCCAAGCACGGGGCTGGCCTCCGCTGCGCCCGATCCTCCGCGCTCGCCCGCTTCTCGGCGGAGCAGGTCTCGTGCGGGTGCGAGGCGCTGCTGCAGGCGGGCGACCCCGGCCGGCTGGGCCGCTTCCTGGGCTCGCTGCCGCCCGACGCCGAGACGCCGTGCGACTCGCCCGCCTCCCTCCCACGGCACACCAGGCAACGTCTCACGGCACAGTAGTGTGCCGCGGAACACCGGTTGGGAAACACTGCCTTAGACCATCCTGGTATCATGCAAAGGTGCCTGGGATTGTCTCTTAAGCTGAATGCCTATTCCAGTGATTCACAAACAATTACATGGGCCCCACCGATGGGCCTTGAGGCACTTTCAGGTGGGCCTTAGTGCTACATTCTGCCCAGTGCCTCCTTGCTTGCTCGCCATGCCCACTAGCCCTGCTAATGCCAGCACCAGCAACTCTTTCTAAGTTGACTAAGTGAGGCCAGGAGACAGAAGTTCAGCAGGGGAAGAGGGAAGGAATGTCTCTGTTAAGTTGTGGGTGAACATATCAGATGACACAGCGATTCTTCAAACAGCTCTTGTTTATTCACAGGCCACAACAAAACTGAACTGAAGGGTTGAGCCAGCCTGCTTATATAGCGCTCCACTAGAACACAACAGTAACCATTTTCTGTAACTATCCAATCACTGAACGTCACTTTCAATCCCTTATTTGCATATGTGGACCTGAGTGAAAACTATCTACAGTATCCCCTTGCTGGCCCAGGGTGAGAACTTCAGTACATAACAGTCTCCCTCCTCTGAAGGGCCTGAAGAGGTATTAAAGTAAATTAGAAAGTGAGATAAAATGTCATTACATTGCAATGATTATACAAACTGGGAATAGAACAGAAGAGGACAAGGAGGAAGAAATGAATGCAAAAATATTAGGGGGGAGGGATGGAGGAAACTAGCAGGAAGGCAGAGATAAAGTTCAACCTGAGTATGAAAGGAAAATGTGAGAAGAAATCATAGGAGGTGGATAAAAATATTTTGAGAAGCATGTAGAGGTGGGAAGAGAGAAAAATCAAATATAAAGCCTTCTCCACTGGATTTTTAGGATCAGCACATTTTGCCCCAAATGGGAAGGCTAGGTCAGAACACCTTCAGAGAAAATGTCTGTGCTTAGCTTGTGGAAAGCCGAGCTATGGAACTACAAAAAAAATGTTCTGGCAAATGTATCACTCTAGAGCACATACTTGAATTTTTAGGGGGTGGGGTGGGAAATGTTATTGTAAACTGTAGAAACAAAATAAAAAACCATGAAAACTACCATACTTTTCTGTCTATAAGACGCCCCCATCTATAAGACGCCCCCTATTTTGAGGGACTGAAATTTAAGAAAATGGGGGGAGATGGAACAGAGTTGTTGAGCTTCTTTTTGCAGAGAATTGCCCAGAGTTGTTCAGCTTGGGGGGGGGGGATGCCAAAAATTGGTCACCCGCACAAGTCACAAAATCCGCCTCCCGTCTGTCCCATCGCTGCCAGAAGCTGCCAATCACCCGCCCAACTACTGGAGCAGCAGCCAATCAGCATAACCCATTGACACACCAAACAATAACATGCACAATAGCCGCTGACAGCCATGGCAGCAACCAATCAAATGTCTACCCTATGCATGACACCTGTATAAGACGACCCCCACTTTTTAGCATGATTTTTGAAGAGAAAAACATAGTCTTATACACAGAAAAGTACAGTAATCTAAAAGCTTGATATTTATTTCATGAAGGGCAAATGCTTATAATAACCTGGGAAATCAAATTCTGAAATCAGATTGTGACAACATTTTGTCCTCAACAAATCAGTAAAAGAAATGATAGAAACTAGAATAAGAAAAAGAAAAAGCTTAAGGATGCAGAAATTCCTGCAAACAAAAATTTATTAATGATACAATACCCAGTAAAGCCACCAATAAAAGAAAATAGTATGTGGTGTTTTTTTAAAAGGTGTAGGGAGAGAAAGCAAAAAGCATTGAACTAGTAAAATGATCATAATTCCATAAGTGGCAGAAGAGATGTGAATCTGGTTTTAATAAGATCTCCGGAGTATTTGGGAAGAGGAGAATTTTCTCCGGCTTTCCACCAACCAAGAACGAGCAAATAGGGTCAATAAATATATAACTTTAAATGCATCAGAGGAATAATGACTTTGAAAAGCTAAGCACCCTGGCTGTCTCAAATGGGAAAATGGAATGAATGGCTGTTGCACAAGACAAGTGAAGCTAATTAGTGAGAATCAATGGAGTCATGCTTAGAACAGGAAAGTTCAGGGGAATTCTCCAGACTGCAAGCTTCTCGGTGTTTAGAAAGTGCCTGGCCCTGTTAAAGTACTTGACTGTAAATAACAACAAGCACGAACCTGATAAAACTTTCAATAGGAGGAGGCTGCTGGGCAGAGGGAAGGAGGCACTTTTGGATTCCTCTGGAACTCTCCTTCCCACGCCTTTTCTGCTATGTCCCTCTGCAAGTCAGCTCCAGGGAGCCTACTTGGAGCATTTCCCTTGCCTGTAAGACCACTTTCCCCACGTTTCCCCCCCAGGTTCAGTGGGTGTGTGGAGCATCTAGTCCCTGTGATGAAGTGCAGTTGGCCAAGTAAACACCTGAACCTGATAGCATCCAGCAATAACTGGAACAGCAAAAGAACTCTCAACCCCCAGCAAACAGCCCCATTTTGATGTAGATTAAAGGGCCATTTAAAAAATGAAGTTCAAGTACATTCTGAATTGGCATTCATTAGAAACTGGAGCAGTTTTCTGCTGCATTTGGTAGCTCATTCAATGCACAGTTTTGGCTCTAAAGGTTTCCCAGTGGAGAGTAAATGGCTGTGATGTCACACTGTGTCAAGACGATCTGGCTATGATGTCACCCTGGGTCAAGACAATCAGGGCACCTTTGCTCACAACGGCTTTGTTGCTTTGATGGCAAAGCGTTGATCTCCTTGTTTCGCAGTACATTTTCAGCGATGCATGCATGAAAAAAATATACTGTATTAACATTCTAGTAAGCCTGAAACACCTCAGGCATCTGATAAGCTTAGTCTGGAGAAAGCACCTTAGGGTAAAAGCTAGTACAGACTCTTAAGTTGCCTGCATAATTCTTTTTCCTTGACGAAACATTGATTTCAGCGTACTGTGGCTGACTGCAAAACACCGGCTTTACAGTTCTACGTGGAAACTGAAAGCCCACGATGCAAAATTAAAACAAATACACATTTGACTAAAAGCTGAGTTAGTGTTATACAAAGCAGCTTCTTTGTTGTGCACCAGAAAGAAGCAATCTTGATGCTAGCTTGCTGTGCATCTTACCTGGTTTGAGGTGAGCAAATGGAATTTCCCCTGTTAACAGTTCCCAGAGACACAAGGCATAGCTGAAAACATCGGCCTTTATAGTGTAACGAGTACACTGTGTGAATACTTCAGGGGCCATCCAGCGCAGGTTCTGTGCATCAAGACAACATCAATAATGCATTAATGGTATGTTTTGTTTCTTCACAGGGGCACCGATTCTCCAGCTTCATTTCTCTTTGCTTTCTGGCAATATGTTCACAAAACAATTCTCTTAATAGGAAGGGAGAATGGTGATCAGATTGTTCCTGCGCAACAGATTCCCAAGTCTTTTATTGAGTTTCAAACTGCACTGTGGGCTTCACTTCATGCATAAAACCAGGATGCTCTTCCATACCCTACAATATTTCTCCAATAAAAACAGGGGTGTCAATAATAATAATAATAATAATAATAATAATAATAATACCCTACCCATCTGACAGGGTTGCCCCAGCCACTCTGGACAGCTCCCAACATATAAAAACATAATAAAACACTGAACAGTAAAAAAGCCTCCCTATACAGGGCTGTCTTCAGATGTCTTCTAAAGGCTGTATAGCAGGCTTCCTCAACCTCGGCCCTCCCGATGTTTTTGGCCTACAACTCCCATGATCCCTAGCTAGCAGGACCAGTGGTCAGGGAGGATGGGAATTATAGTCTCAGAACATCTGGAGGGCCGAGGTTGAGGAAGCCTGCTGTATAGCTATGTCCTTTGCTTGGGGGTTGCATAGCTCCAACATTTCTCCAATGAAAATAGAGATGTCCTAAGAAAAATAGGATATTCCGGGATCAAATCAGAAACCGAGATGGCTTCTGTAAATCCAGGACTGTCCCTGGAAAATAAGGACACTTGGCGGGTCTGCTCTTGGCAGCTCCTAGTCTGAGAGAAGGAAGTAAAGTTTCAGTGGCGGCACAACAAGGGGTGGGCAACAGTGATGCTCTGCATTGGTCAGGAGCTTCCATTTACATTTCCTGAAATGTCCTGAGGTGATACTATGTCGGAGGCTATGTTCAGAATGGAGGCTCCATTCTCTGGTAAGCCAACACCCCAAACCTTTTCAAAGAATTCTCAGTACAAAACAATCCCTCCCTCTTAGAGTTCTTCATGAAAGCTCAGAAAAACAATTACAGTGCTGGGGGCCAGGGGAACTTACCCATCAACAGTCTGAAGATGATTCTGAACTACTAATATAAGAACTACTAATATAAGTAGCAAATTCTAATGCCAATTACTGTTGCAGACTAGAAATTCATTTCTGAGTGCAAAGCAGAGAGAACATTTTGTACCCACTAATCATCATTGATCTCAATTGACATGGCAAACAAATGGCATACACTGTCATTATACAATAGCATGTATGCTGGAAGAAGAAAATCCTAATCTTATTTCTTGCTCCTTGGCTAGATTTTCATATACATTTGATAGTACTTATTTGTAACGAGAGAGAAAGAATAGGCAAACCCCAGGTTGTTTTGTCATATTATCTTCATCCAGAGACTGCAGAAATCTGGATTCTGGGATGTAAAAGCAAAACAAAAGGGAGGGAGAGCAGTTAAATAAGTATCACTGAGTACAGGATAACCAAAGTATTTAAAAAAGAACAAAAATGCATATATATTTGTAAGTTGTATAAAGTTCAAGTGGAAATACAATGACATCATGCCATTGTTTGTCAAGGACAGCATTCATTAAAAGGCTTGCATTAAATAATTAATATTTGTATTTGAATACTTCAGTTATTCAAAATCAGATTTACATCCACCACCAAAAACATGGATGCCCTGCCAGAAGCCATCAGCGTGATGTCATACTAGCATCTCTCAAAAACTCAAGCCAGCCTATATATAGGCTTTTAAGAGGCTGGTTTTATTTTTGAACCAATGGATTTTTCTGCATCAGTGCAGATAAGGAAGACCATTGGATTAAAAAACATAGATTTGCATTGCCTGTTTAAAATTATGATCGGAATAGGAGATCAGTAATCAATAGCTTTTGCCCACCCCCACCCCCAAATTCCATTTGTTCCCCACAGGATATGTGACCAACAGTAATTACCCAGCTTATAATCACAGTATATCAAGATCTTATATAGCATGAGTCCTTGCTCTATTTGCCTACAAGCTAGTTTTTTCTGGCTTTGACCCCATATATAGTACATCTAAAACATATGTGGGAAGGTAGCAGATAACAGGATTGGGAATAAGATGAGCAGGGCAACTGCAGAAGCCATATAATAACCTGGTATTGGGACTCAAGAACAACAGGAATGAAAGTGTAACAAGATCTAATGACATTGCAAATGAATCTCTCTCTTTTCAGAAACTTTATATATCTGATCGTCCTGAGAAATATGTTATTCAGGCCTTTGTACCATGCCAAACTTGACCCGATATTGAAAAGCCTCTTTAACTATCCCTGAACTGGGGAAATCAGTGAGTTACAAAATAATAATGCCCCTGATCCAGGTGCCTTTACAGTTGAGGATTAAACTTGAACATCTCTTATGGGAGATACTGAATGAAATTATTTCAAGTTATATACTCCTCAGAACATGGGAATTGGCAAGAATGGTGGTTATACATAAAAACAGCCAGCTAATTCCAGCCATATTGTCCTATAGCATTATTGAATCAGGATTTTAAATTGTGGAGCACCATCCTTGCAAATAGATTAAATACAACAAATAAATACACTGGAGATGATCAGACCAGATTTATTAAAGAATGCAAATTATCTTCAAACATTCGTGAAGTGTTACATATCAATCATATTATCAAGTAAACAAAACAACCTTGTGAAATATTATTTCTGGGTGCTGAGAAAGTTTTTGACAGTTCATTGATGGGTGCCAAAATGATCAACTGTTATAACTGGAAGATAATGAAGAAACTAACTTTTAATAGTTAATTAAGGTTTGGGATATTGTCTGTATGGTTAAGTTCACAAATATGGGGAGAAGTGGAAAAGGATGCCAGCCAGATAACATTTTTTGGTGGAAAAATAGAGTGTCTTTGTAATTTATTGTGGCAACAAGGTTCACGATAACGTAAACCCATTTATATTACTTGGAAATTTATGACTTCCATTTGTTCTACTTGATTCTGGTATGGAAATTTGTTCTTTGTTTTTAGATCTGGATATCTGATTCCCACCTCCCCAACCCCTTTTACAGATTTATCTGTTTTGTTTTTCCCCCTTCTGTTTATTAAACTGAGTGTAAGTAGATAATTTAAACTTAATAAAGAAAAGAAAGCAAACTACATCAAAGGCTTCACTTGTTAGCCTACCACATAAAAACAATTGAACTCTAATAATGCAAGAGATACAATACATTAAACATCATTGTGGCTTCCTCATCTGTGGCTTATGATATCCAACCATCTTCCACATAATGGCTACCAATTCTGCCCTAGAGCAGGGATGGGCAAGAGGTAGATCAGGGTCTACTGGTAGATGTCATAATTTCCAATAGATTGACAAGGATTAGTGATTCCTAATTGTTTAACAACAGTAGAGCAGATCTTGCAGTCCAAAGTCTGCTCATCCTTGCTATAGAGGTTACAAAACATACTGGGGTTTTCTTTTAGTTTCCAATCTCTTACCTCCAAAATCAGCAACAACAGCATGACCATCTTCGTACAGGAGGATATTGTGACTGTGGAGAATAATAAATTGTTAGATTGGTCACCTGAATGGTATTGTCTTCAAAATGGATGTGTGCAACATGATCAGGAATTTTAGACTGTTTTCTGCTCTCTCTTATATTACACCGAAACAGAGTCTTAGGTTTAGTTTTTAGCTACACCCTACAGCTATTAACATGATTCAAAAATTGTCCAATATCAAAAAAATGGAGGGTGAAAAAAATCCTGACAGTTTAGTAAGTCCAAATGTCAGAGTCATTCTCTAATTAGTAGTAGAACAAGTACATCTCCTAATTAGTGGAAGATCATCTGTAACAGGTTTATTAATTATGTGACAGCATTACCTAGAAGGAATGAAGATGATGACATTTTGGACTGAACCCAGTGATAACCTTTCAATAAAATCAGAAGGCCTGATTATCCTCTCAGTTCAGCTCCACTCAGATAAAGTGGACTACTCCTAATTTACAATGGCATAAATGAGCCCAGGAAAAAGCCCATGGAATCCAGCTGTGAGCAGGCTACTGCCAGCAACTGTAAGATGCTCATAAGGAGGATATTTTGGACCGATCTCAAAAGGCTAATTTCCATTTTTTCCTCCCTATTTAATTTGACAGACAATCATTGTCCTTTGATTTTGTTCATTTCCCTTTCTACTTTGCATAAGAAAGCTTGTAGCCTCGTAAAGGATTTACATGAATCTTATCTCTTTATGATGAGGTAATCTTCACAATCATCTCCTCATTAGACCCCCATCGAGCAGGGCCTTGGGAACATATTTGGCATGTAATGGTGGAAATCTCCACCAACCTATTCAATGAAGATTCAGAATGGCTTGGTAGATGGTGGCAACAGGACCTAACAAACATTATGCACCTTCTGTCAGGCTTCTGTCAGTGTTGATACCACCATGAGAGGAGAAAACGCCCATGACAAAAGTCACAATATCACCTGGGGAATGTCAGGCCTTGTGGGCTACCATGACATCTGGATGTTGGAGGAAAGGGCAAGGAGGCCAGAATACACTTTCCACTTTCCCATTTGCCTGACCCAGGTCTCAGCATAGGTGATTCACAGGTCGGATAGGTTCTGAAAATCCAACCCTAGTGTTAACACAACCAGACTGGCCTAGTGTTAACACAACTAGATTTTCCAGTCCTTCCACTCACTCTGCATTTATTCCTGATGATAGTTTTCTGTTAGTTTATTGAACAGTTATTTTAGGTGAACAATAGTGCAAATCATTGGCATGGAGATTTTTTAAAAACAAGATCAGACCCCAAAACAAGCGTGAACAGGATTTTGATTTTATATGAGAGACTCATTTGGGCATATTACATGCAACTAAGCTGTTCATAGCCTTTTTGCCCCTATCAATAAATGCTTCCACTTCTCCTTCGCTTTTCCTTCTTACACAATGCAGCGGTCCATAACTGATATAACCCAACTGCTGTATAAAGTATGAAGTGGTTTCTGAAATACTTAAAACCACACATAAGAGCATGTAACAATACAAGGCACTGTTTAGTGAACATAAGGGGACATCTTATTTCAGCCCACATGATTATTTCTCTTTATATGTTGAAGTCAAAAACAAAGCTGCTGCATCAAATTCTCTTAAAAGTTTTGTGCTGCAATTTAATCTCGAATATATAAAAAAGCAGACCTTTTGACACTTTGCCATGGGCTGTTTCCTTCCACTAACAGAGGGCTCTTTAATCTAGGGGAGGCTTCCATGGGCTGAAGGGAGGAGAGGTGATTTTCACAAATCCCCCCTTTTGCCTGGAGTCCAGCGTGAACCTCCCATGCTGTTCTAGAGGGTTCCCATTAATAGATTTGGGAGAAGGGCCACATGGGTGGAATCTGTGAAAATTGCCTCCCTCCTAAAGAAAATATCCACTGAATTAAAGAACCTTCTCTCAACGAAGCCTAAGGAGATATAATTGGATACAACCCTGTGAACCTTGCCCACTACTGAAAATCTGAGGTGCTACCTTGGCCACCTGGAATCTGTTTGATGTTTCAGATATTTATCCAGCTTGTTACTGTTGTTGAAGGTGTATCTCTTACTTCAGGGATGGAGAACTTGTCCAAGCTCCCTTGAGATGCTTCTAGGCTACAGCCCAACATCTGGAGGGTCAGAGGTTGACCATCCCTGTCTTACTCAATACTCTAAACTTTTTGACTTATTTTTTCCCCTTCTCTCTCTCTACAGCTGCATGCACACACACGAGAAAATGTGGTTCCTCAAGACTTTCTGACCTTAGATCTCACCTTGTCCTTGATCACACATTCTGTTTACTTCCTTTTCTGTTAATTGGATGGCCAACTCGATATAGCACAGACTCTTAAGCTGAGCTGAGAGTCAGGTTTCTGTATTTGAGAAGGAAGATTTCCGAGAGCAGTTGAGATGGGGGAGCTGGGCAGGGTGCTTGCATGTACTGGCCATGTTATCCATGTGTTCTCCATTGAACATTTTTCTCTAAGAACGCCTTCTCAAATGGAGATATTTCTAAAAAAATGTAAAGTTTTGCTATTGACCATGCCTACAGCCGCTCTTAGCTACAATATCTTGCTGTGTACTTCATCTTTCTAAAAGGGCTGTCCCCAAAAGGCACACAGTACCTGCCTGCCATACTGAGAAAATTAGGTGTCCGGTGAAGTGGGATCACTTCTTGATGCACGGCTGAAATTTATTAACCTGCATGATTGGAGAGGCATAGCCCCTGGCACATCTGGAAGCATTCCAAGGGTCAGCTGTGCTGTGGTAATTAGGCTTCATTTTCAATCTCATCACATTATTAAAGCCATTAGTTTACAAACACATCTCCCCAACGTGTAATCACTCAAAAGTAACTGAAAACCAGGGAAAGTGCAGAAGGCATTTCAATAGCTTGGCACCATGTTCTTTCCTAACTAGAAACACTGCTATTATAAATGCACCACTCTTATATGAGTACCACTTTAGATATCTGACATTGTTCCACATGAAAGAAGTAATATTTAAATGCTCCTTTGCTGCTTTGAATATCACTCCATCATGTGGAACCCGTTCATCCAAGCAAAAGTACTGACATTTCTAAGTTTCTGCTTTCATAGCGTTATGGAGCTGCACTATGGAAAAGACTTTTTGGTGACACTCTCAAGGGGTAGTAGCAACTAAACCAGCTAGTAGCTGTCTCACCATGTTTTGTGTCAAAAATTATGTAAGTTATAAATGTATTTCGTGAAAAAGAATTAATTTTATTCACGATGCTCACAAGAGAGAGAAAGAGAGAGGACCGTCTCACTTTTTCTACTATATTTTCACTGTTAATTTTTTTTTACAAAAATAAACCTCTAACATCCCATCCTTTCTCTACAAAGTCCCAATTTCTTAGGTTTATTTATTATTATTAATTAATTAATTAATTACTGCATTATTTCTTGCCAGGGCAACCCAGTCAGATGGGAGAGGTACAAGTAATAAATTACTACTACTATACTATTACTACTACTATTAATATTAATATTTCCTCCAAGGATCTCAAGACTGTGAATCTCTTTCCTATTCTATTCTATCCTATCTTCACAACAACTTTCCAAGTTGGTTAAGAGGTTAAGAGTGAGGATTTGCGGATGATTGCCCAAGGTCACTCAGTGAAATTTATGGCTAAGTAGGAACATAAGGAGCTCCCTTATACTAAGTCAGACCATTGGTCCATGTAGCTTACTATTGTTTACACTGACTGGCAGTTACTCTCTGGGGTTATAGGCAGGAGTCTCTCTCACAGCCCAACACGGAGATGCTGGGAATTGAACTTGGAACCTTCTGCATGCAAAGCAGAACTATGATCCTTCCAAAATGGGAATTCGATCAGAATTGTAGACTGTATTCTAAGGTTGTCCAGTAGCACCTTAGAGACCTACTAAGTTTGTTCGTAGCTTTCGTGTGCATGCACACTTCTTCAGATACACTGAAACAGAAGTCACCAGACCCTTATATATAGTGGGAGGGTGGAGTGGGGTTTTTATCAGAATGGTAGTCGTGACAGGGTGAGCTCCTGTTGCTCGGTCCCTGCTCCTGCCAACCTAGCAGTTCGAAAGCACGTCAAAGTGCAAGTAGATGAATAGGGACCGCTCCGGTGGGAAGGTAAACGACGTTCCGTGTGCTGCTCTGGTTCACCAGAAGCGGCTTAGTCATGCTGGCCACATGACCTGGAAGCTGTCTGCGGACAAACACCGGCTCCCTCGGCCTATAGAGCGAGATGAGTGTGCAACCCCAGAGTCGGTCACGACTGGACCTAATGGTCAGGGGTCCCTTTACCTTTACCTTTAAGGTGCTACTGGACAATTTTTTAATTTATTTCGACTGCGTCAGACCAACATGGCTACCTACCTGAATCTGTGTTATTATATGTGTGTACTGGAGAATATCAAGCCACCCATGTTGTAACTAGAGTAGGGGGAATACCACTACCCCTGTTTGTTTGTTTTTAAGTATGTACATCAACATACATGATCTTCTGTCCTTTCTTCTATTTGCTTTTCCCCTGTCAGAATCTCAATTCAGGACTGCAGACCAGTCATAAATAATCTGAGAGGAACCATTTATAAAATTCATTAGTATTACAGAGGAAGTTAAAAAAAATAAAAAAATAAAAAATTATTTCAATTAAATCTTTGAAACCATAGCAACAGAAAACCCCAATAAAGGTAAAGGATTGCAGAACCATAACTTTTCCTACATCTGTCAGTCGAGGTGTATTTAAGGCTTACTGCTAAATCTAGTGGATTTGTCCTGTAACCACTGGGACCGAAGAGGTGAATTATGAGATTTGTATTGTGGTTAAACCCATTTATTGAGGGTAATGTGAACAAAACGCTATCCTCTTTACGTTCAGTTTGAACAACACTAGGGAATGTAACAAGAGATATGTGTGTATGTAGGGGGGGTTAATAAAACTAGGGAATAAATTTAACTCTGCCACTGATAATAGTATTCCTCCCAAGAGGCTCACAAGTCTCCATA